CAACTACGCTGCTGGTATATGTAATGGCAGAACTACCGTTACTGTGCAGCGCAGCTATGAGGGCGTCGTTTTGTTGGTCACGATCCCGTAACTGTACCTGCGTGGCTTGCAGGTGGGCTTCCAACAATGTTAAACGCTGCTCCATGGCATGAAGATCCATGACTTGAGTGGTTGGCAGACCCGATGTGATGTTGCTGGGAGCGCCAGTGGCATTCGCATCTCTGGCTGGCTCGGCAACAACTTCCAAGGCAGATGTGGAAGCTTGAGCGGTTAGAATGTTTGCACTGTCCATGGCTTGAGCAGTATTTGCGGCTGCACTCACTGGCTCCTCGGCAATTCGAGTTAATGCAATATTTATATTGCTGTGGCTGGTAACTTCTGGCAATTCTCCGAATGAGTTCAGGCGGGGGCTCCTTCGGGGTGGCGTACGGTACATAAATGTCCAATGGCAACTGGCAATAGCAACGCCAGTTCTACTTTAATCAAAAAACTGCACAAATTTTAGTAGAAAATGAAATTGTATGTTACTCAAATTGCGGCGCGGTGTAATCCCATTAATTCAACAGCAAATTAAAGATGTCAGAAGCAGTTGAATCGCAAATTGAATATGATAGGCGAAAAATGAGGCGGTAATAGCAAATATGTATTCCAATCGGCAATGTAAAGATGTGCTCCAAACTTTGAGATGTGTCAATCAAAATCCTCAAGAAGCAAAAGATGAACGACAATAAAACCAATAGAACAGCAAAATAAAGATGTAAACGTTGACCGTAGCTAGCAAATTTAACGCATACTTATTATGCACAATAAGAAAAACTCAGTAATTTAATTATATAACTCTATCAAAAGTATGGTTTATTTTGCTTTGTTCTCGCTCCGGTTGCTGGCCAACGAATGAATTTGGCATGTGAATTGCAAACGGAGTAAGCCCCATAGCGGTAAATTTGAACATAAGAACTTAAATTGTACATACGTATGTAACAATTTTACTTCATTGTTAGCTGTGGTGCAAAATAAAGAAGTCGGTGAATTTAAAGAAAGAATTAATCAAAATCCGTATATTCTATTTGTATATAAAAAAATGAGCAAAAAATCTTTTTTAGCGCTATGTGGATAGAGAAGAAAACATTTAAGGCCAGTGCACTTATGCCGACTGTGGAGTCAGCGATTTCATGTATTTTTGGATATTTCGCTGCCAACTATTCACTAATTTATCAATTATTTAGAGGTTAGAATGGTGGTCAGCAAAATCACGAATTATCGCGATATTTTCCCAATAGCTTCATCGCTAAACTCACTTGTACATCACCAGCTAGATGGCATGTGTGAGCGAGTGAACATACTGTAAGGCAAATGCGCCCGTGTGTATGAAAGAAAGGGATGCACTATCACACGCCCGGAGAAGTGGTCACATTTTTCCCCAAGCCCATACAAAACTAACCGCTAAACTGACGAAAAGT